GGGGAGAGTTGCACATGTAACACTAGTCCAGAAATTATTTGAAACCAAAAGTATGTTCTAGTTTGCCCACTTCTGTTTGTTCTTGTTTATTGATTAAATGTACCCAGTCCTCGAGCGATATCAATAGAAGACATGAAGACAATGTTTTATTTATCACAAGATATTTGTTACAAGAAGACACATCAAGTCGGACAACAAGTCCATTATATTATTGATTTGATTCTTCTGATGGCAATTTTTTTCCTCAGAATGGTATGACTATTGTGCAAGTAGTGACGCGTAATTCGGTGGGTGAGGTCATTTTGTCGGAGTAAGACTTTCTCTCAGTTTGTTGGACTGTGGAGGAGGTTGTTTTTTTCCTGTTGTCTTGCATGACTTTATTGTTGATCCTATAAGGAGTTGGGTGGGCCATAATGGCACTTGTCAAACAATTGCTAATTAGTAGTTGTGAACTTTCAAGATGTTGAAAACCAAGAGGGGTGTTGGGTGGGTCATAATGTTGCAAGTATTTTCACAGAATAAAATTTGATAGTTGGTTAGTGGCTGTTGTTGTCTAGTGTCTCACAAGTGGAGTTGACAAATGATTATTACTAGATGAAATATAGTGTATTTTTTTATGTTTGATGATTCGGATGCTTGTTCAATTTTATTGATACGATGGTCGAATCTAGAAATATTTGATGACTAGCACCAAGCTAGGATTTTACATGATTGAGTACAAATAACATTAGTTTGTACATGACTAGAAATATTAGTTTGTAAAACGTTTGAACATGGTCGAATCTAGAAATATTTTATGCTTCTTTGGTATCTGAGGGGAACACCACGCAAGCATGCATGCTATTTGTCCTAACGTTGAAACTAATGTTTCCAGGCGTATTCATTGCCGGAATGTATGACTTCATGGATGCGCGGAGACTTGGTACGTTGTCAGCCTATGAATATTACATAGTTTGGGTTTGGCAATATTGACTTGGTTTGCATTGTTACCGCCTAGTTTGATTGATGCATGAAAAATGCAATATTCAGGTGAAGTTAGAAGCCTTCACAAAATACGAAGCAATTCCAGGTGCAAACACGTGTAGTGAGTTCCCCGTCGTGCTGCGGATCACCGGGGAAGTATGGCGTGGCGTGGAAGAGATGCCACGCGCAGGCGTGGACGTCGTGGTGGTGGTTGAAGTCGACTGGTACATGGTGCGTCAAGGGAGGATGGATATCATCAAGGAAGCCCTGATGATCGTCATCGACAAGCTCGGCCCCAACGACCGGCTCTCCATCTTGTCATTCGAGGGTAATGTGCCCCGCATCATGAAGCTCATGTTCATGTCGGAGCAAGGCCAGGTTGCTGCCAAGCTCATGATCAACGAGCTGTCCGCGAACCATAGGTACAACTTAATTGCTGCTCTGCAAGTGGCCGCTAAGGTATGTATGTACTTTTTTATTCCATACGGTACTGTAATGTCTCCTTCTTATGTTGAATTCTTGTTGGAGTTATTAGATTCTGAAAGATGGTCAAGCGGAGGAAAGCCGTGTGGGCTGCATCATGTTGCTATCGGACAATAATGACTACCACGGAATCAAGGACAGGTACGACCATGTAATCAGCAAGGAATTTCCGGCTTACGTCTTCGGCCTGGGCGAGCAACACCACCCGGAGGTCATGAAGTACATAGCCGACAGGACACGTGGCACGTGCTCTTTCGTCCACTACGACATCAAGGGGATGAAGGATGCTTTTGAGCTGTTCATCGGCGACCTGACAAAAATCACCGCAACATCCATCAAGATCACCGTCAGGGCGCACGAGGGTGTGTCTATATCATTCATCTTTTCCGGAGGATACTACAACCACGTGAGCTCTGACAGGCGCTCTGGCGAGATACACGTCGACAACATATACGCGGGCGGGCGGAAGAACTTCACTGCCTACCTTAGTGTCGCAGGTGGTAACAAAGAGAAGCTAATGACCGTGGGCGGACGGTACAGAAGCTTAATGGCGCATCAGAAGCTGGCCGATATGGACGTCGTGGTCTTGCGACCAGGTTCGGCGTGCTCACCTGGCAACATGACCGTCCACCCTCAGGTGGCGGCGGAGCTTGTGCGGACCAGGTTTTGGAAGGATATGATATACATTTATCGGCACCATTCTGCCGTGGAACAGCTATGGGTCCGCTGCAAGCGCTCCGAGGAGGGCCGCGGCGCAGCCAAGGAAACCTTGTTGGAGCTCGGTAAAGACGTTGCTGAAATTAAGAGAGAGTTCGCTCTCGGCCAGCTGCCTCCTTACTATATTTCTTGGCTGAATTGCCACGAGTGGCAGCGTGCAACCACCAAGGGCACACGCTGCGTCTCCGGTGCTTTCACCGTGCCGACAGCATGAAGATGCAGCCGCAAATGACGACGGGGGGCACGATTAAAGCAACCGATCCAGATGGTCATCTTCTTCATATTTTTCATGTAATAAAATTGCTATACCTGCGAGCTCCATTGTTTTGTTTGACAACATAGAGTAAAGTTTGTTTTCAACTCTGTAGTCGGTAGTGTGATCCGACCTCCCAAACTCATAAATCCTATCGACAGCAGATTTCGAAGGGAAAGGGAGCAATTAAGATGGTATCAAATGGGTAAGTTTTTGTCATGACAGTTCTCTGTAGCGTTGAACGAACAACTTCTATTTTTGGGTCATCTTCATCCTAGATCGTATGTAATCTCGGGAGCAAAAGCAGTGCCCTACAATGAAGATGATCGAATTGTCCAGCTCAACCAAGGCCTTTGTACGGCTTGCGATGGGAACATTAGGGCATGTCTGTATGTGTCCTTGGCCATCTGGTTGGGCATCAGCTATCAACATTGTCCCTAAAAAGTTCTCCAGTTCAAACATTCCAAGCCCACAAATTTAAGGTAATCTCGACTAGTTCGACATATGACGAGGATCCTGCCCGGCGCCACCTGCATCTAGCATCTTGGCAAAGGACGCTGACCGCTACACCAAGCACTAGTCTCCGCCATGGTGAGAGCTTTTGACGGCCGACGGCTGGCGTGGGATTTGGGGAGGAGACAAAGACAAGGATGGAAATCACTAGTTAAGGCTTACCAGTTGCAAATGTCAATCCCTACCCTCTTAGATGTTGACAAATGATGCATGTGCATCACTTGTGTTCTCTTATTTTCGTACATTCGTTTATTCAAAATATTTTATCTCTTAAACCGTTCGTCCAAATAATAAACTGTTTTCATCATTGAGTTTCTTCCGTCGAGATCTTTGAAACTAAATTTCATGTAATAGGTTTCGACAAAGTATTTTTTAAGAAAGAACAGAAAAACCAAAACAAAAAAACAGAAAGATAAAAAAATCAAAACCCGGCAACCGAAAATAAGAACGAATACCCAAAAAAAATTGGAGCCTGGAAACATGGTTGCGGTTTTCCCTTTTTTTGGGAAGCACGGGTTGCGCTTTCCCCTTTTTTTTCATGGAAGCACAGATTATGCTTCTCACAGAAGCATAGTTGTGCCTCTAGTAGAAGCACATGGTGCTTTTCCCTTTCTGAGTAGAAGCACAGTTTTACCTCCATGTTCATCGCCTATAGTGCGTAGTTTTCTTGATCCAGACAAGGGGAATTGCGACAAACCCATTGGCATCGGTGCTCCAGCTGCCGCCAACACGATCCCCTTGCCTAATGATGCCATAACATTCTGCTTGCCTTCCGAAGATAATGAACGACAAACTAAATCTCTAAATACCAATTGTTGGCTACCATGATTTTGTATGACGAGAAGCCTGCCAATTCAGAAAGCATGGGTTGTAGCGTAACAGGTGGAACCACTGTACACATTCTCTATACACCGTATCCAAGCTCAGGAAAGGTGGGGCCTCTGTACACATTCGATAAGGTTCTCAGTCCGACTGCACTTGTGCCTCTTCCACACAGTCACAATTCTCCTTTCGTCAAGCAATAAACGATCCAGAAGCTTGGTCCAGCTTTGTATCTGCGCTTACCGTTCGAAATAACTCGTCGGCTGGTACGCTCAGGGTCGAGGATACGTTTGCGGTCAAAACACCCTATGACAAGAATCCCGTTACAACCAGTGATGACTCCCTTGATCAACTTACAACGCAATTTCCTAACAAAAGTTGAATTTTGTTACACTCCAATCTCTCATGCATACTCTATAGGAGTATAATATGCAGAGGAAATACATGTATCAACTTCATAGTTCTCAATAACAGTAGCTCATATAGGATGGGTTGAACCAGTGAACTGCCTACCATTTATACTACTATGATGACTACTATGGCAGGAACAGCCATACAACTTTGGTGAACCTACCTGACTTTGTCATGCAGAAGGGCCATCATATATACAACTAAGGCAGCCATATAACTCGTCTGTTCAACCAACTCATGAGATTAGCAACCACAAAGCTCTAAAATGAAAATACAAATTTGGAGACTATGCATACACCTTTCTGATAGAGTACATTCTAGTCTTAAACATGTATTTGTAACATCATTATCTAATTTAAAAATACACGCGTGACCAAAGTATAAAAAATAGCAATTTGAAAGTATGGTCTTGTGGAAAATGCTCCACCCCAAACACTAGGCACCAACGCCTCCCTCCCCTCTTGCCGTCGCCGCAGGGAAAGGCCCGTGCGCCTTCCATCTCCAAACTACACCTCTCATGCTTCCCTTCCCACCTCATCAATGGGGTCGCGAGCCTCCAGCCGTCGTGGTGGTGCGCTCGACACCTCCTCCTTTGTCCCTCCCTTCGACGTTCTCAACCGGATCATTGCTTCACATAGCCTGATTGGGGCCTCCGCAATTGTTGCGGGATCACGGCCTCAGCTCAAAGTTGTGCACCATCCTCCATAGGTTGTTTTAGGCTGGATTTGCGTGCCTCATCACCAGATCCAATGCTTAGCCCTCCCTTGCATCTTGATATGTATCCTTCATACAATCATCCTTGTGTTGCTATATGAGGTTGCGCGTTTCTGGTTGTTTTTGTTTGGTCATTTACTGGTCTGATCTCTCTTCTATAGATCTTCTTCTTTGGTTGGTTTCATGGTGGTTGGCTCGGTGGCAAGTGTCGCATGCTTGTTGAGCTATTCATGGCTGTCTTCCTCTTGTGATGGTGCTATTTTTAGTGCATGGTTAATGTCATCTCTTTCGTGCCACTCGTGCTCATGCAATTGGGGGTCCCTTGAACTGGTGATGTCTGTCATCCCGGTGGGCTTGCAGTTCTACTATCGTGGTCATTGCTCTCACATTTTGCAAGTTCCTTCGGTGCATGTGATATGCTTCCATGCTTGTTGGTTGTTGATGGTCACTTCTTACTTGGGGTGCTACTACTTTGTCTAGGCAACGGGTCACTGGCACATGTGCCAAGAACCTTAAGTCGCTCGTCGTTGTTTTGGTTGTGGGTTTGTGTTTGGGTTGCTTCATCTATGGTGATGTTTGTTGTTTCCTTGGTGCCTCTTGTAGGCGTGGAAATTTCTATCTATCTAACTAAGTGTGCATCTATAGCTTGCCCGCAGCGAACGCGGGCATTCCCTCGCCTCTGTGTGGTGCACTAATTGGCTGACTCTTTAGTTGCTAGGAACTTAAGTTTGTTTGTTCATTTTTTTTTCTTTTCCAAATTTTGTTTGCATTTCAACAAAGGGTATTTAAAACTAATTTACCTAAATTTGAAAAGCGATCATCCAGCATTTAAAAAATATTCACTACTGTAAAATTAATGTTTGCACCAATTTTAAAAAATCATTGATAGCATTCAAAAATGAATGTTCGTGACATTTAGAAAATGTTCACATGTTTCCAAAAAAATGTTCGTCGCATTTATTAAAAATATTTCATAATTTCAAAAAAATTGCGTAATTTAAAGATAACATTTCAAACTATTCATAAAAATTGTGTATTTGCAAAAGTTTCCATCACATTTTCAAAACTGTTTAGAACATGTAAAAGAATGTTTGTGCAGTTAGAAAAATGTTTCATACCATTCAACAAAATTCACGTGATTTTTGAAAAAAATCTGACATTCCAAAAAAAATGTTCGCGAAATTTTCAAAAAATGTGTATGCAATGTAATAACATGTCTGGATAATATTAAAAAAATATTTCTTACCATCCAAGAATGTTCATGACATTTAAAGAAATAGCTTCAAAATTTTCAGAAAATATGTTCGTGACATTTTTGAAAAATGTTAATACATTGCAGAAAGAATATTGACGTATTATTGAAAAATGTTCAATATGTATTAGAAAATGTTTTGCATTTATTTAAACAATATGTTACAAAAATATATTTAAAATATGTTAATAATATATCTAAAAATGTTCAACATATATAAAAAAATGTTACACTATATATGAAATATGTATAACATGTTTGAAAAATTGGACATCTATTGGAAAAAGAAAAACAAAGAAAACCAGTAAACAAACATAGAAAAGCAACAAAGGTTGAAACATAAAAACCAAAGAGAAAAATAAAAATCTGTAAAGAAACATAGAAAACCACAACAAAAATCGATGAAAACCACCACAAAAAAAACACACGAAAGTTGACATAATAGCTAGCTTCTGTGTAAACCGCTCCCGCAAGATCCGTGTTGGGTGACCCTTAATTCATGCAGCCCTTCTCCATGATTCGAAACAAATATGGTCTCATTACCCGACGGTATTGCACGAGTTGGATCAGTCGAGAGGAACCATGGTTGGAGGGTGTCGGGTGGCATGAGGAAGGCGGGACAATGGCACGAGCCGACCTTAAGCCTGCAGAAACCCTGTACCTACCGCATTCACAACTCATTGTCACGGATTGTCGACGCAGGCGAACAACCCAAGCAACGAGAGATGGGCCAACAAACTTTGAGGGTTTAAGCAGTGCAATCTGTCCAGTTTTGGAGACCTTCTAGAAGGTTCCCTAAATTGGCTTTATTTTCTCTGTTTCTTTTTACTGGCTTTTTCTATTTTCATTTTTCACCCTTTTTTGTTTCTAGTTCCTAGCACATCCTTCTTGTTTCCCGTGTTTGTCTGCCACTGCCATGTCCTGGGGGTGAGCAGAATTGGCAGTGAAATTCCATCCTCGCAATCCACATCCCTGTGAATTGGCCGTGAATCCGCTTCAACAACAAGTAGCTTCACCGCAGGCCAACATTGCAATCTAGCTGGTGGGCCGAATCTTCCATGGCAACTCGAAAGATGGATCTAGGATGCATCACAAGTATTCTCTGTTTTATTTCGTAGGTCACGGTCCGAGCTCACCTTGTCGTCCGCATGGTCTTCACTATTTCCATTCTCATCTTAATCATCCATCCACAACTCCATCCTAAAATGAGCTCCTGGGGGCTGGGCTGGAACAATTACAATAAACACGT